CCCCCCCCCCCCCCCTTCGGGGAACAGCGAGAAGGCTGGCACATTGTCCAGTGTCTGGCTCTGATACCATTTGTAACGATCCAGATCCACCGCTAGTAGACTTGGGATTCTGTAGACTGCTTACATCATAAGCCAAAGAGTCGCCCATGACTGAACGACAAACCCTCGTCACTTCCAGGTACGCTTGGCCATAAAATGGAGGAATATGTATTGTCAAATAGTGAAATCACATTGGTTATCCTGGATGATTTTATGTGCGCTTGTCAATCAAAATTAGTGGATAATGCATGTTGCTTAATGTACGAATATGTATTGTCGAGTATTGATATTTGGATTGACTATCGTGTGTGGTTTTATGTACACTTTAGTCATAAAGTAGTGTATAATACACATTGTTGGATAAATTTTTTTTTATGAGGTAATTAATTGTGGATTAGGAACGAAATAAGCGAAAGGATGTAAACGTGCTCAAGGTGGGCCGATAAGGGTACAAGAGAACCCATCTTTGGAGGCTCCACTTCAAGAACAGTCAGTGAATGTGAACCCAAATCTAGGGATAGGAGTTCCCCCATCTGGTCTATCGAGAGCAAACCTTGATACTTCGGAAGTACCTAATATGACTGTGATAATAGGGCTGAAGCAATCCATGACACAGACAAATGGGCAACTGGCACAACTGATCCCGACCTTAGCGCAAAGTGCCAGGCAGACGACCCATCACAACCAGGGAGACGTTGATGCATTAGAAGAAAGTAAGTATTTTTGGGCTTTCAAACGTCGAGACCCCAAAGTATTCGAGGAAAAATCCAAGGACCCTGACGTAGCTGAATTATGGTTGTCGGCTATTGATGAAATTTTTCGACGCATGAAGTGTCTGGAGGAACATAGACTGAGTTGCGTGACCTATTTGTTACGCGAAGATGCTAAACTGTGGTGGCAATCAGCCTCTCGGGCGATTACTGCAGACAAGGATGACATCACCTGGATGCAGTTTAGAAAAGCGTTTCTCCGAAAATACTTCAAACCATTGGTGCGATATAAGAAGCAACGCGAATTCCTAAGCATAGAGCAGGAAAACAGGTCAGTAGAGGAGTATGAACGAGAGTTCACCCGTTTGTCTCGTTTCGCCCCAATAATGGTCTCAACAGAAGTGCTGAAAGTAGAATGTTTTGTTATGGGTTTGCGGCCCGATGTCTGAGGGGCGGTATCAGCTCACGTTTCACCTAACTATGCAACAGCACTCCGACTTGTCGAGACGCTCGATGTTAGGGAATATCCAACAGAAGACATCTAAACCCACTTAAACACGTCGGTTGACCAGAAGAGAAAGAGAGAGCAGACGTCACCTACCTCCTCAAAGGTATCTTGGCACCAGGCCAAGACAAATTTAAACCAAGAGCGCAGGCAACCAAAGGCTTGCCCACAGAACACGCCACGTGACAGACCACGTTGCTCGAACTGTGGGAGACGTCACCTAGGACAGTGCAGGTTTAAGAATAGGGTATGTTTCAACTGTCACTTAGAAGGCCACGTTGTTGCGCACTGCACCCAAGGGAGAGCAACTAGTATCAATAGACCCCCTAGTAACCAACCAAACTCAAACCTGAGGCCAGCTCCGCAACAGGGGCGAATGTTGCTACCACTCGCCAGGAGGCAGAAAACTCCAACACTGCAGTCACAGGTACACTCTCTATTCTTGGGTACTACGCACTCTTTTATCTCCACTCTTTTATCTCCATTAATCTTGTAAAACACGCAAGAGTAGAAGTTGAACCGCTAGGGTACGGGTTGTCTGTGGGTACCCCAGCAGAGGTAAGTATGGAAGCCTTCGAGAGTGTAAAGGATTATCAGTTTTGTGTGTCAAACTACACGATGGATGTGTGATAATAGTCCTAGATATGACAAATTTTGACGTCAACTTAGGGATGGAGTGGTTAGCTAAAACCCATGTATCCATCGATTGCTTCAACAAGGAGGTGGTGTTCAGACCTCCTGGTCAACCAAGCTTCAAGTTCAAGGGGACCAGGGAGGGAACGGTCTCGAGGATAGTCTCGGCATTAAAGGCAAGGAAGATGTTTTCCCAGGGTGCTTGGGGGATATTAGCTCATGTTGTGGAATTAGGGCGAACTGAGGCGAGCATTAACTCAGTGCTAGTAGTGAGAGAATTCGTGGACGTGTTCCCAGAAGATCTCCCGAGCCTACCCCCAGAGCGTGAGATGGAATTCGAAATTGTACTTGAGCCAGGAACAACCCCTATATCAAGAGCCCTATACAGAATGGCCCCTGCTGAACTCAAAGAACTAAAGTTGCAACTTCAAGAGCTACTAAGCAAATGCTTTATACGACCAAGTGTGTCTCCTTGGGGAGCCCCAGTGATATTTGTGAAGAAGAAGGACAACTCTATGCGCTTATACATGGACTATCGAGAACTTAACAAAGTGACAATTAAAAACAAGTATCCTTTACCCCGAATCGATGACCTGTTCGACCAGTTGCAAGGAGCAGTTGTGTTCTCAAAGATTGACTTACGGTCAGGCTACCATCAGTTGAGGATTAAGGAGAGTGATATCTCAAAGACTGCCTTTCGCATAAGATATGGACATTACGAGTTTAGGGTAATGTCGTTTGGCTTGACCAACACTCCAACAGCATTTATGGGGTTGATGAACAAAGTGTTCAGAGAGTTCTTAGACAACTTCGTGATCGTCTTCATCGATGATATCCTTGTGTGTATTCCAAGACTAAGGAACAACTCGAGGAACATCTTCGGAAAGTGCTGATCATTCTGAGAATGAACAAGTTGTTTACAAAGTTCTCCAAGTGTGAATTATGGGCAGAACAGGTGGGATTTTTTGGGCATGTAGTTTCAAGCATGGGAATCACCGTAGACCCAACAAAGATTGAAGCGGTGACAAATTGGCCTCGCCCGACCACAGTGACTGAGGTACGAAGTTTCCTTGGACTAGCAGGGTATTATCGGCGGTTTGTGCAGGATTTCTCCAAGATCGCCACCCCCCTCACTGAGTTGACCAAGAAAGGAAAGTCGTTCACTTGATATGATCAATGCGAGGTTAGTTTCAAAGAACTTAAACAGAGGTTAGTAACAGCCCCGATACTCACTGTGCCGTCAGGAGATGGAGGCTTTGTAGACAGTGATGCTTCAAAAAGGGGGTTAGGATGTGTCCTCATGCAACATGGGAAGGTTATCGCCTATGCTTCACGTCAACTAAAACCATACGAGCGAAACTATTCCACCCACGACCTAGAACTCGCAGCAGTGGTATTTGCATTGAAGATTTGGAGACACTACCTTTATGGAGAAAGGACCCAAATTTTCACTAACCACAAGAGTCTTAAATACTTTTTTACTCAGAAGGAGTTAAACATGAGACAACGCAGGTGGTTGGAGTTGGTTAAAGACTATGATGTGGAGATACTCTATCACTCGGGAAAAGCGAATGTGGTAGCTGATGCATTGAGCCAAAAATCAGCACACACGTCTGCCTTAATCACTACACAAAAAGTGATCCAGCAAGATCTGGAACGCGCCGGTGTAGCGGTGGCCATGGGGGAGGTCGCCACTCAATTGGCCCAGTTACGATACAACCGACCTTGAGGCAACGTCTTATTGATAAACAACATGGTGATCCAGATTTGGTTGGAAAAAGACGTTTGATACATGTCAATCAGACAGAGAAGTTTTCATTGACAGCCGATGGGGCGCTCTTGTACCATGGGTGGTTGTGTGTGCCAAATGAAGAAGAACTGAAGGTAGAAATCCTAACCGAGGCTCACCACTCGCCATTCGCCCTACATCCTGGCAGTACCAAGATGTATCAGGATTTGAAACAACATTATTGGTGGCGGAATATGAAACGTGATGTGGCCGAGTTCGTGAGCAAGTGTTTGGTTTGCCAACAAGTCAAAGCCCCAAGGCAGAAGCCGGCGGGGCTATTACAACCACTTAGTGTTCCTGAATGGAAGTGGGAGAACATCGCCATGGACTTTATCGTGGGATTACCAAGGACGGCCAGAGGCTACACAGTTATATGGGTTGTAGTTGATAGGCTCACAAAGTCAGCTCACTTCCTCCTAGGGAAGTCCACTTATTCCGGGGATAAATGGGCTCAATTGTACTTGAAGGAAGTAACAAGATTGCACGGGGTACCAGTATCCATTGTGTCAGATAGGGATCCCCGTTTCACATCAAAGTTTTGGAAAAGCATTCAGAAACCGTTGGGTACACGGCTAGAGTTTAGTACAGGATTACACCCACAGACAGATGGGCAAACTGAACGTTTAAACCAGATTTTGCAGGACATGTTATGGGCTTGTATGTTGGACTTTGCCGGTAGCTGGGACACACACTTGCATCTCATAGAGTTCGCTTATAACAATAGTTATCAAGCGACGTTAGGTATGGCACCTTTTGAGGCCTTATACGGGAAGAAGTGTCGATCCCCAGTGTGTTGGGATGAAGTGGGAGAACGCAAGTTGTTGGGCCCCGACTTAGTGCAAGCAACTAATGAGGCGGGAGAGAAAGTATTCCTTAAGGTGGCTCCCATGAAAGGCGTTCTTAGGTTCGGGCGCAAAGGGAAGTTAAGTCCACGCTTCATTGGACCATTTGAGATCTTGGAGCAAGTGAGACAAGTAGCTTACCGGTTGGCCCTACCACCTATACTCTCAGGAGTCCACAATGTGTTCCATGTATCGATGTTGTGACTATACATATCTGACCCATCACATGTGATAGATTTCAAACCTCTATGGTTGAATAAGGGTTTGAACTATGAGGAAGAACGAGTGCAAATTGTGGATAGAGAAGTGAAAACCCTACGTAATCGAGAGATCGCGTTGGTCAAGGTATTATGGTGGAATCACCAGCTGGAAGAAGCCACTTGGGAACGAGAGGAGGAAATGATGAGCAAGTACCCTGAGCTCTTCAAAGCGGAAAGTAGGTAGCGCAAGCCTTATGTATTTAAGTGAAGCTTTCGAGGACGAAAGTTTCTTTTTGGGGGGAAATATTGTAAGGCCCACGTTTTGGGCCCATGGCCCAATAACAAAATCAGACTTATAAAAAAATAAGTCCTAGGGTTCACTAGGGGAGCAAACTTTTAGCCAGTCGCCGCTCTTCCTTCTTTCTGCCGCCGTCCGCCGCCCTTCCTTCTCTCTTTTTCATTTTTCTTCCTTAAGCCACTGCCACCCAATGCTCACGGTTCCGCAACTGATTGTTCCCACACCGCTCCGCGCCCCTTCCCACATCAGAAAACCATCACCCTGCAGCCACATCGCCGCAGCGAGGGAACGACATCGTCGTTGCCCAAAATCGACCTCAAGTGGGTTAGACGCAGCAAAGGTTCAACGCCTACGTAGGAGGAAGACTTAGTTCGAGGGGAGTCAGATCGTCGTTGATTATGAAAGGCCAAGAAAGCAGCTCCTCAGGTAAGGGGCACGCCTATTGAAAATAAACGTTTTGTTTTTTTTTTTAAATGGGTCGAATAGAATCGTCCAATAGCTAGGTTCTGTGTAATAATCTGAATGCTGAGTATAATCCGATCGCTGTGTGTAATCGTTTGTAACCTGATTGTCGTATAATCTGATTGTTGTGTAACCTAATGGTTGGGTAATCTGTTTGTGGTGTAATATGGTTAGGTTGTGTAGTTTGTATAGGTGTAATCAGATTGTTGTGTAATCGGATTGTTGTGTAATCAGATTTTGGTGTAATCGGATGGTTGTGTAATCGAATGGTTGTGTAATCAGTGTTAGGGTCGCACGCACTCGATCTAGATGAACACAAAAAATAGGATAGAGAAAATTGCAAGGAGAACTCTGGCTAAAAGAATTTGTATTGATGAGTATGTATAAGAGAGAATACAGATAATAGAAAAAGTACATTTTCAAATCTCTACCGACGAGATATATATATAGTTCAGTTTACTAAATATAGCTTTACTAAATTTAACCATCTACTATATATAGCTTTACAAGATTTAACCATCTACTATATATAGCTATTTACCATATATAGCTTTACCGAATATAGCTTTACCAAATATAGCTTTGCCGGATATAGCCGTTGACCAAGCTATAAATAAGAGAGCAGACTAACAATCAGATTGTTGTGTAATCGGATTGTTGTGTAATCGAATGGTTGTGTAATCGAATGGTTATGTAATCGGATTGTTGTGTAATCTGATTGTTGTGTAATATGGTTAGGTTGTGTAGTCCGGATAGGTGTTGATTGCCGGCATATTGTGCTTGTAGGTAGCCATGGTTAAGAGGTTTGTGGTAATAGTTACACGCTGTGTGTTTCGGGTAACTAGCCACCAATAGTCACCTTTGGGATGATTCTAGAAAACGTCTATCTAGTAAGGGTTACACGCTGTGTGTTTCGGGTAACCAGCAATTGATAGTCAATTGGAGGAAATAAGGAGGTGAGATCCTTGTGGTAATGGTTACACGCTGTGTATTTCGGGTAACCAACTAGGAATAACCACCGGAGTAAAAGTGGCTTTGATGTTGTGGTGGCATTAATCACTTGATGCGTGTTTTGGTTGATCGCCTTGTGACGATTCATATGTTGACCCCAATAGGGGAGTTCCTTACTGAGTATTTTTATACTCACCCTGTTTTTTTTTTTAAATGATTTTCAGGCGAGGCTGTGACACGGAAGTGACGAGTAGGATGCCAAAGTCAGTCACGAGGTGATTCAAGGATTTTTATGTTTTTTTTTTTTTTTTGTAGTCTCATTTTGTGGGAGTGACGTTTCCGCACTTTTGTTATTAATTTAAACTATATTGTGGATGCCTAGTTTGTGGGAACTAGGCGGTCACATCAGACTTCCTTTTGATTTTAAATTTCCTCTTTGTTTTAAATAACTTTAGGCGGCATTGTTTTTTTTTTTTTTTTTTAAATTTTAAAGGGTACCCCGCACATGATTTCTAATAAAATTCTGCATGATTTTCATCCTTTTCCAAATAAATCTCATTATCTTTTGTAACGACCCTGATCGCTACTTATATGATAAGTTGGGTCGTTACAGTTGGTATCAGAGCCAGACACCGGACGATGTGCCAGCCTTCTCGTTGTTCCCCAAAAGGGGGTAGATACGAGACGGTGTGCCAGTAAGAACGCTGGGCCCCAAAGGGAGGTGGATTTGGGGGTAGTCCCACATCGATTGGAGGAAGAAAAGAGTGCCAGCGAGGACGCTGGGCCCCGAAGGGGGGTGGATTGTGATGTCCCACATTGGTTGGGGAGGAGAACAAATCACCATTTATAAGGGCGTGGAAACCTTCCCCTAGCAGACGCATTTTAAAACCTTGAGGGGAAGCCCAAAAGGGAAAGCCCAAAGAGGACAATATCTGCTAGCGGTGGATCTGGACCGTTACAAATGGTATCAGAGCCAGACATCGAACGATGTGCCAGCCTTCTCGTTGTTCCCCGAAGGGGGTAAACACGAGGCAGTGTGCCAATAAGAACGCTAGGGGCCCCAAAGGGGAGTGGATTTGGGGGCGGTCCCACATCGCTTGGAGGAAGGAAAGAGTGCCCGCAAGGATGCTGGGCCCCGAAGGGGGGTGGATTGTGATGTCCCACATTGGTTGGGGAGGAGAACAAACCACCATTTATAAGGGTGTGGAAACCTTCCCCTAGAAGACGCGTTTTAAAGCCTTGAGGGAGAAGCCCGAAAGGGAAAGCCTAAAGAGGACAATATCTGCTAGCGGTGGACCTGGGTCGTTACATTTGTAGATTGAATAATCTCCGCATCAAATACAATAACCGACTTTCGTACATATTCGACAGCGCCTTCAATAGATCTAACGTTGTCTTCTCCTAGATGATGCTGAACACCAAGTTTCTTGATAGCATTAACTGGATCAACCCTAGGGTCTGTCGATCCTTGAACTTTCACTGCTCCGTAGCCATGGTATCCAGCTTCACCTCGGATAGAGGTTCGTGAAAATCTTTCTGGTACAGATAATTTTCAATCTACATCTTCAAGAAATCAAAATCAGATCCATCAAACTTCTCATTTCCATCTTCACAGATCGTGGTGAATCTCACCTTGTTCTGATACCAGTTGTTATGATCGCACAACAACGAACACACTCGATCTTAATGAACACAAAGAATATGAGAGAGAAAATGCAAGGAGCAAGATTGGTTAGAAGTTTATATTGATGACTTCAAGTGTGTATAATAAGAGAGAATACAGAAAGTACATTTTTAAAGCAGTCTAATGAGGTATATATATAGTTCAGTTTACTATATATATATATAACTATCTACTAGATATAATTGTTTATTATTTATGATGTAGTTTACCATGTAGAGCTTTACCATGTATAACCATTGAATAAAGTATAAATAAGCAGCAAACTCCATAACCTAATAACGTGTGCATGTGATTGATCTGTGATTTATGTGTTTGATGTGTATCACCAAACGTTATCACTTTTTAATAGTAGAAATGTCAAAATGTACCAAACCCAAAGTTCATAGACCAAAATAAACGTTCCTCCGAAAGTACATGACCCAAAATGAACCAAAAACGACAAGTATCGAAACAAAAAATAGTATCTAAACCTAATTTTCTTTGTTTGATTCTTTTATTTCCCTTCTTCCTCAAATGAATGCAAAAGGAATGGAAAGAAACATGTGAGAAAAAAGAAATAGATGTAAATAATAAGTTTTGTTTTTGCAGCTTAACCCTCAAAGAAAAGAATATTACCTAAGAAAAAGAGAGAGCAAATGGGGAAAATAGTGTAAATAATAAGAGAAAGAGAGCGTTGGAGGGTCCATCCTGACTCCTCACCGACACAGCGCATAGATCCCCTCTCTTCTCACCCACCCAATACAGCTGTTCTCTCTGTCTTTACATTAATTTTACTTACCCCACCCACATTTAAAAAAAAACAAAAACAAAAACAAATAAAATATTATTTATTTTTTAATCAATAATAATTAAACCCAACTCATCAAACATCGTGTTGGTTAATAAAACATTATATTAAAATAACATTCCTCAAATTTCAATACTTTCGACCTTATTTAATTTTAAATTTTAATTTTAAATTTTAATTTTAAAAGTAGGGTCAGGTACGATTAGATTGTAACACTAATTTTAAATGGATCCACGCTTACCGTTCTTGTTTAAAAACACGGAGTGGGAGAATTGAGTGTAGTGTCTGAGGATTGGTTTGTGGTGGTGTTGAAAGGAAGAAGATGAGAGGTCAGATCTTGATTGTGGGTTGCTTCTTATGTTTTCTTCTCTTAAGTGCTTCTTTCATGGAAACCGCCATGGCCGGCGCAGGTACTTTCTCTCTTTTAACTCTTCCATCTTCCATTTTCTCTCCTTCAATCTAAGCTTTCAAGTTCATGCCTGTTTTTCACTCAAATGTATGCTATTTACCTTAATATAATGCACCCGGATCTCTATTCTTTTCCCCACGTCCGGTTGGGGGAGAACGAAATGTTAGGAATCACGACTCTCCACAATGGTATGATAGTATTCCCACGTCGGGTTCAGTTTGAGCATAAGCTCTCGTGGCTTTGTTTTGGGCTTTCTCAAAAAGGTATCGTTCCAATGGAGATAGGATTCCTCACTTGTAAACTCATGATCTTCCACTAAATTAACCAATGTGGGACTCATTCCCAATGATCCTCAACACGAAACACCCTTTATAAAGGTGTGGAAACCTCTCCCTAATAAACACGTTTTAAAAACCTTTAGAGGAAGTCCGAGAGGAAAAACCCAAAAGACAATATCTGTTAGCTGTTTATTAAATTTCTATCGTTCAAAAAATTTGATTACACAAAAAATCAAATTAATCTTAACTTGATCGATATAATTTGAGTTGAGTTGGGTTAGTTTAAATTTATTATTAATTTTAAAATATATACTTTTATTAAGTTCATTGTTCAATAAAAGTTGTTTAAGTTACAAAATTTACGATCGTAACAATTGGGTTAGATCTAAAAAACTGTTTCGACAGAACTCACGAACATCTGTTAAACTTTTTTATGAGTTTAATGGTCACATCGAAACTTATAAAAAATAATAAAAGAATGAGTTCAAATTATGTAACAAGCGTTATTGAAAATGAAACAAATAAAAAGTTGAATTATAAGAGTAAAATTGACTCGAGTGATGATACATGGAATGTGTTGGGGTCGGGGCAAAGACGTGTGCACGAGACCGTGCAGGAAGAGGTGCTCGCACGCGAAGCTGAAGCGTAAGTGCATGAAGTATTGCAGAATATGTTGCGGTAAATGCAAGTGTGTGCCGGGGGCTTATGGGAAGCGCCACTGCCCTTGCTATAGCCATGTGCACACCCTTAGGGGCAGGGCCAAGTGCCCTTGATTTTAAGGCCACTGTGGCATTGTCCCCTTAAAACCAACCTTCCAAGAGACCAAATAATTTTGTGTTTGAATTTGAGTATTAAAGGTTGAAAGTTTGTGAGTGAAGTTTGGTTGGTTTGATAAACAATGTGTATTTATGGTATGTAACTAAGAAATGTAATGCTGTTTGGGCTTTTATTCAATAAGAATCATAAGAACGTTATTTTTTTTTCGGTCTCTTTCGAGTTTCTTTAAATCACTCTTTGTTGTGGGGTTGTCACGGATTGACAGGCCATACGAGAAGTTCAAGGAGTTTTTTCTTTGCGGAGATTTCACATCACATTAGTCATTTCATTCCTTCCGGATAACCTAAAACTTGTAATTTGGCAACTGCAATACAGAGTCATCAATCACTGCCGGCTTGTTGTCCTCAAAAGCTCTTTGATACTTTTTCATCAGTGAAATGTCATGGTCGGTTCGTACGCCTTTTAGTTTAGGAGATTTTGGAGTTGAGCAGCCCTCTTCGAGTAACTTACCATGAATCTTCTTTTTCTCCTTCTCCTCACACGAACATAGTAGGGAGATAAGGACTAAGAGGGCTGAAGTAGAAACAATTTCAGTACCAAATTCATGAGTTTCTTCTTAAAAATTTGTGCCACTAACTGTTTGACGTATAATGGACTTGCATTTTTTCTAAGGGCCTATTTTTCTCTATTGCCTCATGCATGACATTGACTCTTAAGTGGAGAAACATTTATTTAAAATTATTTAAAATTATTTCAAACAATGTTATTAACTTAAATGTTCTTAGTAAAACCTTTAAAATAAGACAAAGCAAAATAGTAAAGCGAGAATAAATAACGTACCATTTGAAATGAATAGGCAAAATAAATTAATGCCCTAATCTAATCTAAGGGCTACAAAAAGATAAAATGTAACTACCTTAGCGCTAATTTCATGGTCTTCGTCGCGACGTTGTCATCGATACAAAAGTGTCTTATTGTAACGACCCAAAATCTCCACATGTCTAAAGTCGTCACTAACGTCTCATGCTCATCTATAAAGCGGAAATATAACTCTTACATGAACATCATTTATAACGTAAACTTCGAAAAACGTTTAAAAGAACTTCTTCTCTAGAAAACACAGCCATGGTCTTACGTGTTTAAATACAAAATACTAACATGTAGAGAAAATAAAAACAAATACAAAATAATTTAAAACAATGGAATGCAAAACAACCTATAAACTAAGACTTTAAAAAATGAGTCTACCCTATGCACGTGCCACAGTCTCTGATCGCGATGCCGCCGTCCTCCGTACAAGTGCGCCTTGCCTTTACCTGAAAAATGATGTGGCACACGGCCTGAGTATTTCAAAGAATACTTAAGTGGCCCCATATAGGGGGCCATGCAAATGCAAACACAAGCAATCATGATTTAGGGACCTATCTCTAATCATCTTAGGGGTGGCCTCCAGTCTCGAATAAATTGGATGTGTAGTACTTCCCTACACACGACTCACACGTGCGAGTGTGAATCCCCAGGGCGCTCACATACCCCCTGGACCCTCTGGTCAAGTTAATCTGTAGCGACGTCTGGAGGTCAGCGGAACCCCATAGTGTCATGCGCCTCATGAACACCCTCATCTGTGTGCATTCGCACCTATGCGCATTCACGCTCATCATATGGTGCACGTCCGCACTCATCATCTCTAGGGGAGGTAGCCCTATGCTTATGAACATACAATATGCATGAGGTCCCTCTAAATCCATCATAATGTCTCTTCTGACACAACCCTCTAGTTTCATCTCTATGTTACTCTAGGTAACACATACTCGTGGATATTTATATTAATATCATTTTCACGCTCTTAGGGTTGTGTCCTATGTCGATCTAATATATATATATTGCGCACATCATCAAGTATCGTAACCCACACATCATCATAACTCATATACCGCATCGTACGACATAGTTCATACATCATCCTAACTCATACAATTTTTAACCTATCATATAGTAAGACCACTTACCTGGTTGGCCTTAGCCGAAGTATTCCCTAATTTATTTAGCGTAAGCTCCCGTTCCTCGAGAACTACACCAAAAATTGCTCATGGGCCAGTAAATAGTTTCTTCACAAGAATTGTTCATGGGCCTTAGGAGACCCATCTCAGGTGGAATCACTCAATTCTGTCAAGAATCAAGGAAGAACGAAAGGTGTGAATTCTTGAATTCCAATTTTCTTTTAAATTCGAGAGTTTTTCTTGAGATTAAGTTATGAATTTTTGGTATGTTTATATTTTGCACTTGCCCAGGTTAGAGTTGAATTGGATTGAAAAGGTGAATTTCAATGTTCAATAATTTTTTTTTTTTTTTTTTTGTAACTTTTAGTTTTTGGTAATCTTTGAACTCGGTTATGTTGGAACTGACTAAAAATTATGAGAAAAATATCTTAGTAAATATGGATTAAATCTACCATTGTCATGAATAAACTAAGTTAATTTGAATAAATATGGATTAAGTCTACAATTGTCACGAATAAACTAAATTAATTTGAATTTGTACAGAGAACGTTATGAAAATTCAAAGAAAATGGAAAAAAATCGAAAACTGGTTTGAAAATCTAGAAATTCTAATGGAGTCAAATTCACAAGTGACCGCACGTGAGAGAGATTTCAGAAATTTGGGAGCTTCTAACACACGAAAAAACTAGGATTAAAAAAATCAAAGGCTATATATAATAATATGGGTTTAGATTGGGGATTTAGGATAAGTTGGTATATCATATAAAACATTAATTTCATAAGTGAAGATTCCTGATGAGATTAATAAACTTAAAATACCTCTTATCTTTTTCTAAGTAAATAGGTGTTTGTTTCTTATGCCTGCAAGAAAAGGTCCCTCACTCGAGAACAACGCCAAGGCTATAAAATTGACCCAGTGCTTAAGGCTGAAACATCGATATTTGGTAAGCAAATCTTTACCGGATACATAAATTCGACTTTGGGTCTAATTCAGGACAAAACAACACTAACAAACATATGATCTCATGATTGCTTCGATTCCTTGACGCTATGTGGGAGAACTCAACCAAGCAATCATGCTATGGCCCCCTATTGTTTGATCCAATATTGACCGGGGACGAGCCCCGGATTGCATCGTATAAGTGAAGGCTGGAAGAATAAACTTAAATAAAAACTGACTTCTACTAGAGTTGACAATAAAGATTTGTACTTGTACAATGTTTTGGTGTGGTGTGCCAAACAAATAAAGAAAGAAAAGGAAAACAAAATCTATATTCACTAGGGAAAATAACCAACAAAAAGAAAGGAAAAAAGAATAATCACCTTTACTAGAAAGCTGTATATATACTTCCAGAAGATATCGAAGCCCCACCCAACCCTTAAGAACTCTGTCACTGTCGCCCTCAACACTGTGAAGAAAAGTCATCACTGGTCACGCCACCTGAAGCATTTTCAACATTGCTTGAAAGGGAAAGAAGGTTCATCAGCTCCATCCTGTATTCCAGGCCTCTCATGTAATGCCCCAACAGCATACACCTTTAATACAAAATTGGTGCAATATTAAGTTACAGCAAATATCAGAACCGCTCACAATCTCCCTCCAGTTGAAGGCTTAAGAAATAAATCAGCAGGATTGTCTCAATAATTATGCAGAAAAGACTTTTTTTTCCAATGAAACAAACTGCATGGTCAGATTTTCTCTGAGATCTCACACCGGTTGAAGAGAACGAAACATTTTTTTTTATAAGGGTGCGGAAACCTCTCCCTAGCAGACACATTTTAAAAGCTTTGAGAGGAAGCCCAAAAGGGAAAGTCCAAATAGGACAATATCTGATAGTAGTGGACTTGGGCTATTACAAATAGTACCAGAGCCAGACACCGAGCAATGTGCCAGCGAAGAGGCTAAGCCTAGAAGGGAATAGACATGAGGTGGTGTGTCAACGAGGAGGCTGAGCCTCGAAGGGGGTGGACACGAGGAAGTGTGCCAGCAAGGACGCTAGGCCCCAAATAGGGGTGGATGGGGGTCCCACATCGATTGGGGAAGGGAACGAGTGTCAGTTAGGACGCTGGGCCTCGAAGGGGGTGGATTGTGAGATCCCACATCAATTAGGGAGGAGAACAAAACATTCTTTATAAGGGAGTGGAAACCTCTCCCTATCATACACGTTTTAAAAACCTTAAGGGAAGACTCGAAAAGGAAAGTTCAAAGAGGACAATATCTGCTAGCAGTAGACTTGGGCTGTTACATTTATTCATTGTTCCAGCCAAATATTTTAAACATAGTGCACTATTGTACATAACATGCACACAATGAAAAATAAGAACACGAAAAGTTGTCTAACCAGAAAAGTAGACGAGCCAGATAGTCTCGTGTTAATGTTAAGAGGGGCTGGAATTGGAGAGAAGTATTCTCAACAAGTTCTGCACAATCTTCATTACCAATATCTGTCGTGCCCGTTCCAATATTTTCTGATTGAGAAGGAACTTTGGAATGAATCTTTGGGGAAAGGGTTGCAAGAAGTCCGTGGACAACAGAATGTATGGCTTCTTTTAAATCAGGGGATGTAGGTTCAGAGAGCTCAGCCACCTGTTTATCATAAATAATTGAAGTAAGACAAGGAAAAATCATAATAAAGCCAAACATAAACGTGATCCACAATCTCATGCATGCTCATCGCCCCCTCCCAACAGGGTAGTGCAAATCAATAAATTGAACATGTTCCCTGTAAAAGAGTTGCATCCACGTATTCACAAACTGTGTTTGTGTGTGTGTGTGGATGGGTACATGTGAGAGCGAGTGGGTCTCCGAGGTCGGAAGAACCAGCGTAGATAAAAATACGAAGGCATATACAATCTTGTAGAATTAAAATAATGAAACAATATATGCTTCAAAAATGTAAAAAGAGAAACAAAAATCATTCTGTGTTATTTAACCTGATAAGTTGCACTACGGAGTCCAACTGTTTAGCCAAAAGCCAAACCTCTTACCTATACACCCATGACACGAGTTAGAAGAAAATTGATAAGCATGGATGGAATGCAAACATTTCATCCTTGTAGTCAATCAAGGAAGGAGCTCAAGGTTGGTAAACAACTTGGATTCTTGGATAAATCTAGAAGCTCAGACCAGAATAGTTTGAACTTCTACATGATTTATCCATTGATAAGATTTCAAAATTATAATGACCAATGGCCATGCTACAGAGACTATCAACAGAAGCAGCAGTATTTCTTAATGTTGAACAAGTTTTGGAAATAGGTTGATTAGATATCATGCCAATTATAACTTGCGGTGGAAGAACCACCATAATTTATCGTCAATAATCGGGTCGTACTAGACAGAAGACATTTGTTTTTTTCAATATCTTTCAACCTTTTTATATTTGAGAGGGAATTAAAAAAACAATCTAACATTTGCTCCTTGTCATGCCATGCACTGCTTTGTATCAACTATTGTGAAAATATGCGGAATAAGAAAACATTTTCTTGCACATTCCTAATCCTTAATAAAATAAAAGAAGGATACAGCAAACTTCATATGAACAACCAAAAGCAAAATTTCAATAAACATATAAATAGCACGCTACTTTGACAAATATGAAGGTGAGCCTATATTACAAAGTTCAGTAAATGTCTTCATAGTAGCTATGTGTGTACTGCACACGTCATCTAGAAGATCTTAAATTGACAACCAGGGTTTGACTGTTCTGTAAAAATCAACGCACCTTTTCTGGCTGTAATGATCGCAGATAGTCCAACAGATCATTTTTCTCCTCGCCAACAAACTGCTGCATCTGAAGAGCAGCACTTTTTCTCTTGACTTCATGGAGTTCCTTCAACAAATTAACACAGGGACGTAAGAGTATATTAGAAATGGAACACAGAAAGTTCCTAGATGAATTAATGGGATGTTAGTCAATATATATATATATATATAATTCCTAGATGAACTAATGGGATATTGGTCAATCTATATATATATACACAACAAAGAGAACAGAGGTTAGAACAATAAGTCAAGAACCATGGTAGAAAGACTATCTCTGATGAAAAGATCCTTCCATTTTTTCTCAGCAAAGTAAGTCAATTGCTGGACTGAGTTTTACACTCCAAGCCAAGAAGGCTCCACTAGTTTTAACAGAATAATTGAATGTGCCAGTTGCAAATAGCCAAATAAATTTAGAGCTGTCGCCATTACCCGATGATTAATATGATAAATTCGCCTAAAATCATTATCTAAAAACGGCGCATGATTATGATTAACCCATTTGGGGCTGGGTTTGTTAAATAAAGTAGAGAGACTCCCCAAACTTACAAGGATATATACCTTTTTAATTGAAGATAATTGAAACTTTAAATGAAGAATATGCTGTTGAACTTCAGGAGAAGTTTCACCAATGCCTTGAATATTAAGGTTTTCACACGGTTCATGCAAAAATTCCTCGCATTTGGAAGAAGCCTCATTTTCATCTAAAATGTTCTCCGAATTAGCACTGTCAAGCAACATTTCATGTAGATCAACTCTACAATCATCATTTGTTTGTTTGTCGTTATTTCCATCATCAAAGTCAAGATTTCTTTCAAGGCAGAGTCTATATTCAGCATTACGCAATGTGTACCTGAAATACCATCAGAAGAACAAAGAGAATTACCATCAAAATGTGCTAACATGTAGTAGGAATTAGAAAGGAGAAAGTAAATATCACATTCTTCATGGATGAATTGGTATCAGAAATGAAGACATTGATGACTCAACTCAACTCTATCAGTAGCCATCATGTGTTAAAAAGATTTTTCTTTTTAAATCATATCATATGAAACGGTTAACGATGCTTAATCATTACAACAAAAACATACAAATTTTCCTATGAAAAAAGTTGGTCTTCTCTGTCTTCTCAAGGAATCTCAGAAATCATAAAGACATAAATTAGGGCAGTCAACTAACCCAGTCATTATTGAAGAAACTAATAACTTAGAAACTGGTTCCCATAAAGCCTCAACCAAAACTTGAAACTGGTCAGATGGAAGTAAGCCCAGCATGCCAGAGATAGTCCTTTTCATAGCATCCACAGTGGTCGGTGGAACATCTTTTTGAATTATGCTTACATCTAATGGCTCTATCTCTTGTATCAAAGATGAGAGAACTGATTTCTGAAAAATGAAAACACAAACTGTCAACTAAAGAATTTTATGCTGAAAACATATAAAAAATTCATCACATGCAACAAAAATTAGATCTAAAAAACTTTAGTAGCTTAAAAATTGTAGTGAAATCCCCTTATTTATTAAACAATACATCACATAGTAAAATAAATAAGAACATATGTAGAGTTCGTGCTAACTGGTATGTAGGGCAAGAGTTGTACCCACACAACAGAAAAATTGAAGCCTAATCACATGAAGTAGCTTGATTTGACGATCACATGATAAATATTACGAAGTACCAGCACAGTTAATCATTCTACCAACACAGAATTAAATGCAAGCTAATTCAATAGGCAACTGAATCGAATCACAGAAAAACCAGAACTACTTTCTTCCACATAATCCAATGGAAGAGAACTCAAACCAACTAAACAACAGCAAATTAAACAAACTACCGGTATGCAAAGAATCAATCTGTTCCCACGCTCTGTATTCAACGTGTTCCAATAGAATAAATCTAAATGGAAGGTAATTCCATAAGCAACAGAACAGAATCTTAGAAGAATCAATCTGACCTTGGATGAAAATGGCGGATTCGAGTGCTTGCCATGATCGAAGTCGTCGGAGGAGGAGTCCAAAGAGGAGGAGATGGTTAGGGCTGAGAATCGGCAAGGGAATTTAGAGGAGGAACGAATAAGAGGGAAGGAAAGCGAGGGTGGGGGAGAAGAAAATTGGCGATGAGAGCGTGATGAGGAGGGCCGGAGTTGCAGAGGGAGCGAGAGAGAAGAGGTGAAGGCTGCCATCGGCAAGGAGAGCCACAACCTCAACCACTTCCCGGTCTCCCTCTTCTTCAACCTGCTGGCTACTGCGTGTGCACCATTTAACTGCAGCCACAATTAAGATGAGAAATTTGATTGGAGAATTGTCTCTTCTTCGGCTCGCCTTGCTGTCTCAACCGTTGAAATTATCCCTTTTTTTTTTTAATTCGATAATTTGACAATTAATTAAGATAAGAATTAGAGATTCTGTACACACCTGACGGGCCCGGATAGAAATTTAGGGTTGTTACATTATTAACTGGATTCCACATTATTCACATGGTCGTTGTCGGGATGTCACCGGGATGTCGTCATTCATACAAGGGTGTCTTACCTTTACCTGATAACTAAGAGTATGGCCCCGAATAGAAAATTAGGGTTGTTACATTATTCACTGGATTCCACATTATTCACATGGTCATTACCGGGATGTCGTCATTCATACAAGGGTGTCTTACTTTTACCTGAGAAATAAAAGTATCATGTTACTTGAGTATTTTAAGAATACTCTGTAAATAACTCCATTATTGATGCTGAAAATGCACGTACATGCAATCATGAAGGGATCTATTCTTCTATAAAAAAAAATTCATGGGATTGGACTCTTGCTTTCTAGTCCATGCTAAAATTGGATTTTGTATTTCTCTGCACATGAACTCATCACGTAGGCTATCCACACCCTTAAGTCAGCCCTTCAGTTAGTGCACGCTCATGCTATCGAGGCCATGAAGGAAAAGGAACCTACATGATATCATACAAACATAGATATCATAATGTACGCGTCTATACTTATCATAATGAATAAGTATTCTGATGCATGTGACAATGCATAAAATCGTCATAACTTTTGTAACGGCCTAAGTTCACCGCGAGTAGATATTGTCCTCTTTGAGATTTTCTTTTTGGACTTCCCTTCAAGGTTTTTAAAACGCATTTGCTAGGGGAGGTTTCCACACCTTTATAAAGAATGTTTTGTTCTCCTCCCCAATCGATGTGGGATCTCACAATTCACCCCCTTCAAGGCTCAACGTCGTTGTTGGCACTCATTCTCTTCTCCAATTGATGGGGGACCCCCAATCCACCATTTTGTGGCCCAACGTCTTTGCTAGCACACCACTTCGTATCTGTTCCCCTTCGGGGCTCAACCTCATCGTTGGCACATCGTCCGGTGTTTGCCTATGATACCATTTATAATAACCCAAGCCCACCGCTACTTTGGATTTTCCCTTTCGAGCTTCTCCTCAACATTCTTAAAACGCACCTGCTAGGGACAAGTTTTCACACCCTTATAAAGAATGTTTCATTCTCCCCCCAACCGATGTTGGATCTCACAGCTTTAAATCATATCATAAACATATGACAGAAACCGTACATTCATTATTTCATAAACATAACTTTTATGAATACATATGTTGTGTAACAATTTTCATAAACCTGAACTAATTAGGTAACATAGTTGCATACGACATGAAAGTCACAACAAAATCCATAACATAAACATTTCATAGCATTAAAAAAAAAAATAGAAGATCGCTGTTATTACATGAGCAGCCTAATTCAACTCAATCTTTTTTTTTTTAAGTTAGGTTGTCCGTTTTTTTTTATTATTTAAAATCCATAGTAATCTACTGTATATATTACATTAATAATTAAAGTCTCATAAAATTCAAATATCAAACATTTACAGGTCATAACACATCACTAGCATACCTGATAAATCATAGTTATCTACAACACAATACATTAATAACGAAAATGAAAATCTCATAAAATTTTCATTTATTTGAATTCAAGTCAATCCAAAATAATATTGTAAATGACATCATAGGTATTATAACTTTTGAATTCTCATTAATTAATTATGATTTTGTGACTTAAATTATTTTTTAAATTATTATAACTTTTGAATTCTCATTAATTAATTATGATTTTGTGACTTAAATTATTTTTTAAAATTAAGTTGAAATTATATAAACATTATTTTTGTAATTCAATTTGATATATAAATCGAAGCTCTATTATTAGAGTGCTAACGTTTGATGCGTTCTTACCAAGTTTACTTGTATTTAAGTCGGTGAATATTTTTTTTCGGAGGAGATTCAACGGTTGGAGTAGTTGGAACAAGAAGACGAAAGACTCGCCATAACTGATATTTATTTAATGTATGTTTACTTAACCTTTGGTTTTGTTTAATTCGAAGGAAAATTAAAGTCATACCCAATATTTCCGCTGCATAAATGAGACGTTCATTTCTAATCTACCCAGACACTCATTTTTCATGATCATGTATGAAATCTCATGGTTAGGTTAAGAAAACATATGTTATAACTCGTGATGCATTATTATAATCATTTATTTCTTAAAACGAAAATAGGCATCAAGCTCCATATCCCAACAATCTCCCACGAGACTGATCCAGTCAACCAAGAATTTCATTCTCAAACTGCACCATATCACTCGAGGTTTTGCACAACCTTAATGTTCTAACATCAACGCAACGTGTTTGTTGGATTCTTTGCACCCTCTATCTTCTCCCAACACATTACCATCTTCCACTAACTTCCAAGTGAAATGGTAGCCTTCTGTGTTGTCTTTGAATGAAAAACCGAGTTCCTCACCAACTGCATAACACTAACTATCTACTTGAAGAATCTTAACGCATTTCTGAAGCCTAGACATCCCATTATTCATGGTTTGCTCCCACTTGCTTCACATCTGATTCCTCAACAACAGTCTCAAGAGTTTACTCCCACTTACTTTGTTGTCCCATAACCTTTCTTCTTTTGTCCTTGTACAAGACATTTTCATCAAAAGTCACGTCACAATATCGCCAAACTTTTCTATTCTTGTCAACCCCAAACTTGTACCCGAACATGTCAGAATCATAGCCTATGAGATAGCACTTCATAGGCTGACGCTGTCACTCTTCTCTAAATCAACACGAACATACGTAGTACAACCAAAAGTTATCAAGTGAGAGTAGTTGAGTTTTTTCTTGTCCATACTTCTTCGGGCAATTTAAACTCCAAGGGTACTGATGGCCCTTTATTGATCAAGTAGACTGTTGTGTTTACAGCATCGACCCAGAATGTCTTTGGCAATCTAGAATGAATTCTCATACTCTTTGTCTGCTCATTCAATGTTCTGTTCATTCTTTCAACAAGACCATTTGCTTTACTGGTAATTGTCCTCATTAATTGAATTCCCTCAACTGCACAAAATGCTTTGAATTATGAATCATCGTACTCTCCTCCATTGTTAGACCTCAGACAATTGATCTTCAAGTTGGTCTGATTTTCAACTTCAGCTTTCTATTTCATTGAAAGTAGCAAACACATATGACTTGTATTTCAGGAAATAAATCCATACCTTCCTGCTGAAACCATCGATGAAGGTGACGTAAAACTTTGATTCGCTAAGGGATGGAACTGGAGATGGTCTCCAAACGTTTGTATGGACTATTTCCAGTGGTACTTTATTCAGTTCTCTGGCAATCTTTGTGAAGCTAACTTGTTTCTGTTTGCTCATAACATAGTTCTCACAAGGATTCATATCAACATATTTCAAACCTTCCAAACCTCCTCGATGATGTTAAACACCATGTTTCTTGACAGCGTCAACCGGATCAAGGCCAGACAATCCTTAAGCTTCCACTGCTCCGTGGTCATGGTATCCGGCTTCACTCCTAATAGGAGTTCATGAAGATCTTTCTTCAATCTGCATCTTTCAGAAACTGAAATTGGATCCATCAAACTTTTCAATTCCAATCTATGAACTTTCCATCTTCACAAATCGTGGTGAATCTCGCCTCGCTCTAATACCAATTTTTAGGATCGCACAACAATGCACACACTCGATCAAATCGCACAACAATGCACATACTCAATCCAATCACACAACAATGCACACTCTATCAAATCGCACAACAATACACACACTGATCAAATCACAAAACAATGCACACACTCAATCAAATCACAAAATAATGCACACACTCATCAAGATGAAATAATAAGACAGAGAAAATTTAAGGAGAAATATTAACTAAAAGTATCAAATCGCACAACAATATATCTCTAGATCTTTACGAAATATTTGCCGAATATATCTCTACCATATATTTATGAAATATCTGCCATATATATTTGTACCTCTATGTATCGTATATATCTCTATCACATTTTTATTGTAAATAGGCGCTCTATATCCCAACAATTTTTTTAAAAAATAAAATAATCTAATCCATCTTACGGTGGGGTTGCACTATATAATAATGATTTTTACAATTTAATAAAATAATAGTCTTATTTAAAAAAAAAAAAAAACAACATACGGTAGGGACTAGGAACTACCCAATAAAATATTTTTTTAAAAATATTTTTTAATTTTTAAAAAACTCGACTAAATCTTTTTTTGAAAAAACATAAAAATAGATCCTTAAACTTAAATAAAATTTTCTTTAGTAAAAACAATTAAGATAAAATATATTTATTTATTCATTTTTTTTTCAATTAAGCGATAAAAACATTAAATATAATATGTGAATTGAAAGAAAAAAAAAACCATTCAATAATATACCAACACCTTACTAATATACTAATATAAGTGGTTACTATATATATTTATATTAATTAGTAGTTTCAAATAAAAAAACTATTATATATATTTTATGATACGATAATTGAATATTCATACTATATTATTATAAAATGAATAAATTTATTTATTTTGTTTTATGAATATTTATTTTATCACCAGAAAATAAAAAACTTTTTAAAAATAAAATAAAATAGATTATTGGATAAAGCAATATTCTTTATTTATCTAAATTAAAAAAAAGAAAAAAAAATGATATGGCGCAATTTTATCTAAATTTTCGCGACTATCGCCAACCGCGAGTAGCTCAGAAAGCGGCAACAAATGGATTTGAAATTCATGAAAATGGCGGTATTTCTCCCTCCTCTTCCTCTCTATTTCATAACTCCATTCCGCTTCCAATGGATTCCCAGATTCTCGTTCTCCTCCCCCTCCTCCTCCTCCGGATTCCTTCTGCGGCAAGCTCTGCAACTTCC